ATTCTCTAAGCCTTGCTTGCTTTCTGATTCCTTCTTCCACATTATTTGTTTTAAGTGGAATTATACTCCATCAAAAGAAAAAGCAAGCAAGCCAAGCCCAGCAAAACTGTTTCTAACTCATGGCATTTCCATTTCCACATTTGCTACTGAGGCTATTATGCACCTAGCTAGTATCTTGACCTCCAACTCCATCTGAAATTGGGAGATTCCCTCCAAGGATATGAACTACTAAGATTTTCTGGTGAGAGAATACAGATGAGGGATGAAGGGCCATCCTCCTGCCACCACAGAGATTAATGATATCCTGGGCAGAAATGAGTTATTGATCCTTCTTGCCTTCTTCCTCATGTTAGAAACACAGAACACGTGTTTTTTTTTTTTAATGAAACATTGCTGCTGTTTCCAATAAGAATAATGTGAGGAGGGGGAATTTCGGAAGAGAGCAGCTTCTTTCCTTCCCAGCCTCTGTGCTAAAGTCACCATCATCATCATCTTAGAAGTTCAGAGTTGGAAGGAACTCTATGACTTGAACTGGATACGGGGGGGGGGGTTGATAGCTTTGCCTCCATGCTTCACTACTTTTAGAAATCCCTTTCCCATTTGGGAAACGTTGACAGACTTTTCAAGGGATGACAGTATATTTGAAACACCGTCAGTTCTTGTAGGCACCAAAATCCATGACAATGTAATTTGAGTAAATAAGCACCATTGAGGGTCAAGGAAAAGTCAAATGTCCTGGCATTTTTATTCTAATATTTGGAAGGAAACCTCCTACAATATGAGGAGAAATGGATCAGAGTAGGCCTGAATGGGCACAACCAAGCGACAGCACCCCAATGACGTTTTATGAGAGCAACCTTCAAGGCCAGCTGGTGCAATGCCACCGCCTTGTGCTAACTGTCTTACTGATCAATGCAGCCAAAATTTGCCGTGAGCATCAGTTCACAGCTCAACTGATTAATAATGAGAAAAGGATGAACTCAACTGTGGATATGCCATAGACTCTTTACTGTGAGTCCAGTTTCTTTGGCTTCTATAATTCTTAACATGGATGAACATTTCAGATGGTTGCACAAGTAAAATTAAGGGAGAACAATTATTATACAGCTAGGCTGTTGACTACACAGCGAGGGAAATGCAAATTAATTCACCCTCTCTCACTACAAATTTGCACTGGGGCATTTGGTTCTCTCCGATATAAGTGGCCACAGAAGCATAAAAGGAATAAAAGCCTTCAACTTGCAGTTCCTTGTGAAGCGCCTGTAGCTGGTGCAGTTCAAAGCAACTGCATTAAGAAGGCTTCCCTTCCGGTCATTTCCGTAGCTTACCTTGATGGCCAGAGAAGAGTTCTTAAGCTATTTTTTTTTTTAAAAATGCTTGGAAGGTAGCTACTGTACTGTGACTTTGAAGAGTCTGTGCTCAACAGTACCTGTTAATTCAGGGAATGGCTTAATGGTGGATTTTGAATGTGTCATGATAGTCTCTATAGCCACACCCTCGGCAGAATCCAAAAATGCAGGCAATAGCGGCATGGATACACAAATGCCACATCAAATACTTTAGACTGGAACAGGAACCACACATTACAGGAAATCATTGATGGGGAAATACTACCTCCCATGAAGACTGGTCAGAACAGACAAGCAAGAGGAGGTGGCAAATAATGTCACAGTCCTTCCTAATCAGCAAATGCTCATCCTTTGATTCTGCAGCACTGGGCCTGGATTCAGGCACATACAGAGATCCAGATAGGTTCACCTTATTCTACTTATTAGTCACATTTATAACCCTTTTTGCCACCTCTCCTTCAATGACCTCAAGGCAGCCCACGTGGCTCTCCTCCTGACTTTGACCTCACACAGGGATCTGTCAAAGCCCCAATTATAGCATATCTCTAATTGTGTGAAAATCCAGTCATCAATAAAGTAGCCGTGAGAAAGCACGGTGGTAAAGAAAGATAAATGTGTGGTGTTTCTAGGGAAGAACTTTGATCTGACCTCATGGGGAACCCCAGCCAGGCAGCAGTGCACACCAAAGGCCAGAAGAGTTACGTTTTTGGACTATCACTAAGAGAATCCCTCAGGTGGTATGGCTACACTAACTGTGAAATTTTCAGAACTACTATATAGTCCAAAAGTCCCCACAACATGTCCAATGTTTTTGATACAGCCAGCACAGAGCCAGGCAGGGCATTGATCTGACTTGGTAAACACCTTCCTTTTCTGATGCATGGCTCCCCAAAATGGCACTGTTTAAAAGATGGCTGAATCACAAATGCTATGGGAAAGCATACATTGACTCAATAAAGCCAGTCATCTACCCCACCTCATTTTATCTACATGTGGTTCTCTTCCATCCACTCAGAATAGTTGGTAGTAAATTCCTATTGTTCGTGTGAGGAAGGCAAAGAGAAAGCTGTCAAATCGGTTTTCTCTTGTACTGTATTAGGAATGAGGAAGTGCATTTTGTCCTTCACTCCAACAAAATACTTTAAGACGATTCATATTTATGACGGATGGCAATGTTTACTAGTACTTAACACGGTGTCAATGGTGTGTGTTGGCGTCTTTAAGTGACATCATTTTCATGCAGCTCCCATTAGCTTCTCAAATAATACTTACTCCACTCAGAAGCTTAGAGTGGATTAATATGCTTTGTACAAAGTAGCAAGGTTGGGTGGTTAGCAATATCATAGAACTGCCAAAGCATAAAATATGAGTCATCTTTTGGGCAGCTGGAATTTGAGAACACTCTTCAAAGGGGATAGAAGCTTCTATATGTCAGCCTGCCTGGTATCTACCTACCTACTATAGTTATCACTTGCTGACATTCAAGTAAGGTTTGTATAATGTGCCTTGGCTAATTGCAGCTAATTGAAGTGATGGTACAGTGTATTTTGATACAATCAACCATGCTATCCTTCTGGCCGTGTCACTGAGATGGGAATTGGAGGTACTGTTTTACAGGCTCTGATCCTTCCTGGAGGGAAGAATTTATAGGGTGGTACTGGGGGTACTCCTGTTCAACACCCTGGTGGTTGGCCTGTGGGGTCATTCATGATTCTGTTTTGTTCTCTATGCTATTTAGCATCTACATGAAGCCGCTGGGAGAGATTGTCCAGAGTTTTGGGATTTGGTGTCACCAGTATGTGGATGACACCCAACTCTATTTCTCCTTTCTGTCTACATCTGAGGAAGCTATTTCGGCCTTAGATGAGTGCATGGTGTCACTAATGGACTGGATGATGGTGAACAAGGATGTTAAACTGAAACTTAATATTGGCATATTTACTGTCTTTAGCTTTAAATATTGTCATTTAAAGTTGTAAGCTGCCTTGGGGCTTTCTTAAGGAGAAAGGTGGGGTAATTTTCAAACAAACAAACAAACAAACAAACAAACAAACAAACAAACAAACAAACAAACAGAGCCATTGGGGGTCTGACTAAACATGTAACTGAGATGTGCCCTGGCACCTCATCAATTAGCCACAATTAGCTGCAGCAAGTTATGCAAACATAAGTAGGACTCTGGTCCACCTGATTAGCAAAAACTCTCCAACATCCAATCCATATGTTCTCTCCAGCTGCTATCTTTTAGCTGAAGATATCAGAGATAAAGCTTTTGCATGCATGGCCTTGCTCACCAGTAAGTTCACTGTCATAAGAAGGGCACCTTCTTAAGTGCATGATTTCCCAAGTAAAATTATAGTTCAGGTGAACAATACAATCACCCTATAACCGATTGCAGATAGGTCCAGCTCATATTATGAATGTAGAATAAATCTGGCTGCTAATTTTATCAAAATGATTGCTGCCAGAAATTTATTCACCACAGAGTGGAGTACATTTGTTGACAAGATGAAAATGTCACATAATTTGTCCTTGCTGTGCACAATTTATGGAAGCATACCTTACAATAATCACTGTGCAGGCATTAATTAATTGAGTTCATTTGAACTGTGTTCATTAGCCACAATAAAGTGAATTGGGTTGCTCAGGACTTATCATACAATTATCCCCTCCTCATATTTCTCTGACAGGGAATAAATTGTCATAAATCTTCGGTTGTTCTCTGCAATGCATCATGGTTATTACTTGGAGCAGCTCAACAGGGCAAACTCAAGATATTTTGCTGCTTGAGATGGAGCAACATAGACCCATGTATAGTGGAATGGCTCTTATAAAACAAAATATTTCTTCACAGAGCACACACTTATTTATTTCTTTTAATTAATATATTTTTATACTTTCTCCTTAGAAAGGATCCCAGGTGGTTTGCATCAATAAAAGGCAATATTTAAAACTAAAAAGAGTAAATATACAAATACAGTGGTGTCCCACATAGCGACGATAATCCATGCAGCAAAAATCGCTGCAAAACGATTTCGTCGCTATGCGGATTTAAAAAGCCCATATGAATGCATTAAAACCCATTTAATGCGTTCCTATGGGCAAAAAACTCACCTTTAAGCGAAAATCCTCCATACAGCGGCCATTTTCGCTGCCTGGTAAGTGAGGAATCCCACCAAAATCACAGCGGGTGGCCATTTTTTCTACCCGATGGCCATTTTGGAACCGCTGATCAGCTGTTGGGAAATCATCGCTATGCGATGATCGGTATGCGAAACAGTGTACCAATCATCGCAAAGCAATTTTTTACCATTTAAAACATTGCAATGCGATTGAATAAACGTTCGCAAAAAATCATCGCTATGCAGATTCATCGTTAAACGGGGTGCCCGTTAAGCGAGGCACCACTGTACTGAAAAGGATCAAACACCACACTAAAAAAAGGAAACAAAAGCAACACCAAAAAGACATTCAAAACAGTAAAGTACGGTCATCCATTAAAAAAACCCTACTCAGCCAGCTAGTCACTATGGAAAAGCTTGCCTGAAGAGAAAGATTTCCATCTGCTTGCAGAGGGACAGCAAAGATGGGACAGCTTGGCTTCCTGTGGGAGGGAGTTCCAAAGTCTGCGAACAGCAACAGAGAAGGCCCTCTCCTGGGTCCTCACCAAATACACCTGTGAAGGCAGTGGAACCAAGATGAAGTTATCTCTTAATGATTTAAACCACTGGTTCTTAACCTTGGGTTACTCAGGAGTTTTGGACTGCAACTCCCAGAAGCCTTCACCACCAACTGTGCTGGCTGGGGTTTCTGGGAGTTGCAGTTCAAAAACATCTGAGTAACAAAGGTTAAGAACCACTGATTTAAACACTTGAGCAGGCTCATGAAGGGAGATGCACTCCTTGAGATAGCTTGGACCAAAGTCATTTAAGGCTTTGTAAGTTAGAACCAGCACTTTGAACTGTGCCCAGAAATGGATCAACAGCCAGTGGTGAACAGGGGAGTTATGTGATCCCTGTAACCAGCCCCTGTCAGCAATCTGCAAACTTAAGATGTATTGTTTCAAATTTGAAAATAACCATGAACCTTGATTCTGGATAGGTGTACATCATTGGCTGCTCTGCCTCAGACTGGAGTAAGCTTTGGCTGTGAATATTTGCAATCTAAGACTGGACATCTGTCCAGCAGTCAGTACTAAAAATGACTCATTTCAGCATCTAAGTGGTATGACCAACAGGAAGTGAAATGATTTCTAGATCTCTTTACTGTCTGCCTTCTGGGAAGTGACACATACTAGCAGCTCATGATAAGCTAACATGTTTGCAGGTGATGCTTGCTAGCACCACTGCAGCTATGCATTGCATTTTACTTTTGCCCCATTACTTCTACAATGTGTCCTTTCCTTTCCTCCCTTCCTTGAAAGTCTTACTAAGATTCAAACAGTGCCATAAACCATCTACTACTCTTTGTTAGCACTTTATTTATGTTTGAGCTTTATAGCAAAAAAGTTGAAAATCCCTCCAGAGCATATGAAACAGAATATATACAATATTTTCCTTCTCGTGTTGATTCTGAAATAAGAAGTGTACAAGCAAGCTGTGAAAAACCAGTTGTCTTCAAAAGTCTATTTCTCCAGGGATCAGCTTAAGTGCTCTTTTACTAGAACAAGTTAAAGAATGATTGGAACAACAAATTTGATGGAAACTAGTCTTTCAACCCCTGTGGTACCTTTTATCTCTACTGGAAATTGGATTAACTCAAGTCTTTCTTTTCCTGCTATTTATATTTCTAAGATCCTCAGCAAAGTCTTTCATCTAGAAATTCATATATCAATCTGCTTAACATTCAGGGCACAGGATCTGAATATCCATCCTGGCAGACATTCCTGGAATTCTCTGTGTTCATTTCTATTTGAATTGTTATTGAACATGTCTCAATATGCAGGATGTTTATAATTCAGTGAGAAAGTACAATAGGGAAAGACTAAGAAAATCTGTTTCAGCTATAACTGAATTGAATCAGGGTTCAGTCCTGAAGACAGTGAAAGTATCTTTTTTGCTTGATGTCCTTTTAAGGTATCAGGCCTGCCTCTATTAATTTCCTGCAAGGTGATGTGAATCCTCCACACAAGAGAATTTCATCCTCAAGAAGGGTAGTTCTGCACATGAAATAAGACCATCTGCCTACAAGGAATTCCCATCTCCCTTGAATTTAATGGGGAAGCCAGCTCACCCAGCTATTGTCACATCACTGGTTACTTCAATGTAGGGACTTTTGTCTAGTTGATAAGAAGCAGTTGCTTGCTATCTCCACAACCACCAAAGAAGATGTGAAGAAATGTTAGCGCGAGTTGCTAATGGACAGGAGGAGCCTCAAATACTGGGATGACATGGTGGTGAGCATGGGGAGGATAGTCCAATGTGTTTCTGTTATCTGGTGATGGTTTCTCAGCTAACGACACCTGGATGAAGACTTGAGGAGAAGGCAATGTAAGAAAAAGCTTCTTGTCTCTCCCTCTCAGTGAACATCATCAGCGTGCTGTTCATCCGGTTTGGAAAAGGAGAGAAGAAGAAAGAAGGGAATGCTTGGACTGTATGGGACCAGTCACCACTGAAAAGCCATCACATACGATGGTTCGTATACTCGTATACTTGGCTAAAACTGGTTTTCATCTTTGTAGAATGGGCGTGGAAATCATGAACTGGATGATACGCAACTATATGCAAGAAGCCTGTAGTGAGTGTTATTTTCTGTGGAAAAGCATGGAAATTTTATAAATCATAATTAATGTGTCCTCAAGACAATTCTAGCATATGACAATGCTTGACAGGGTTTTCTGGGTAGAGAATACTCATGGTAAAGTGGTTTACCATTCTCTTCTTCTAGGGGTGCTCTGGGACTGGGCAGTTTGCCCAAATCGACACTGGCTGACTCTTCTCCTTGGAGGGAGAGTGGGGAACTGATCCAACCTCTGGCTCGGCAGTTAGGTACGTAACTCACTGAGCTATCCAGCCAGCTTTACAAATCATAGGATTGGCAAATTATTCATTCATTTTCACATTTTATATTTGATCTAATTTGGGGGCATTTCACAAGAAAACAGAGACGCCATCCTGGAGCAAAATAAAATAAAACTAGTAACAATAAAGCAATGTCCATAGCAGAAAATCAACAGTGGTGATTTTAACAGCCTTAAAAACAATGTTAAAACAAACTTAACAAGCTCTTAAACACACACACCCCTGGCAGAATAAAATAACTTCACCTAATGCAGAAAAGAGCACAATGTCAAGGAAGTCCCTCTAGAAGGATTTATGATGTAATGAGGGTGCCACTGATGGAAATGTATGCATTTTACAAAGGGCAGGTAAGAGGGAAAAATAATTCCAGTGATGTTTAGAATCAGTAGCTCTAGGAAAAGCATCAAAGTTCTATGCCATCTGATCACTGAAAATAAGTATGCCTTATAATGTGACAAACTCTGCCTTTTTGAGGGGGGGGGGATCCTGTCAAATTCTGCAGATTTGCCTGAGCAAGGCTCTCCACTGAGACCCTACCAGGAGACCATGAGATTGCCTAATGCTCCAAGGGGATGAGACACACAGCAATTAGTCTTGCTCTGTTTTTGTATTTCTAATGACTTCCTGCACATAATACTGGGTATGCATTGCAGGTAAAGCAATTCTGTGCACCATTCTGTTATCTTGCAGAGGCCAGCATTATCAGACTCATTTATGCTCTGTAGCATCATGCACATATTGGCTAGAGGCCAGAACTGTGTACTCGCTCCTGTCCCTCATTGCCACTTGAATCAGACTGTATGGGCCATTAGCTGCCCATTATGGAGTTGCTGCAACACCATCAGAGATGGATGATCATGCCAGAATCACAATGGAAAACCTACCCAGGTACAAAAATCCTTGGCCTCTTTTTCCCCTCTCCTGCACCCTTTTTTATGGCTTCAACTATGTCCCTGCATTGTGGAATGTTGTTTTCCAATCAGGGTTGGTTGGCCTTCTTTGGAGAGGTCTTAGCATACATTATAATATCATAACTATTCCCAGAATTCATGCGGTCTCGGACTTTTGGTTGGCATAATCCAAAAAAGTAATGTTTCCAAGCTCTAGCTAGATCAGCCATTTTTGGTTTCCTCCTGACACTGTCATTGGGGTTTCTCTACAGAAGCATGATAGTCAACGCTTCTAAAAATCTTCCAGCCATCAGTGGCCCTTAGCCCAAACAGTCAAAAACTTCTAAAAATTTTCCAGCCATCCTCTGCCATCACAGCTTGTGCATTCAAGAGGTTGCAAAATGAAGCATCTGTAGTGCAGTAGACAAGAGGAGGCTAAACAAGATGAATTAATGGAGGCTAGATCTATCAGTGGCCCTTAGCCCAAACAGTCAAAAATGTAACTTCTATTATGAATTATATCACCCAGGGAATATATTTTACGATTTTGCCCTAATTATAACATTTTTCTGCAAATGTTATCTAGCTATTGTTAACTGGAGCCTGCATATATCATATATGGCTGGCATATATCAAAACTTGGGGTCTATCTGCATATCCCATTTAAAAGTTGGATAGAGAGTTTGGTTGAGATCTAATTAGCAGTCATTTTATGAAAAGCATTCTTAAGAACTCTAGGAGCCATAAGATGTTACTCTCTCTGACAAGTTCTGACAGCCTGCCAGCTATGTCAGACTAGGTTGTCTAATTGCCCAGTCGTTAAAAGGATTTTGCCTGGGTTTTTGTCACTTTTGAATTAGGTGTTTGAAAAAATATGAAAGGACTTCATACCTTGCAGATGGAAGATACCGCAGGCATTAGGAAGGTTTTCCATGGAACAAAAGTATCTGCAACAGATTCCTGGCTATCTTCTCGTTGCATATACAGAATAACCCTGGTTATGATGTATAAAGCCTTTTACTGTTTAGGTCCCTGAAACGTGTCAGAATTTCTTTCCCAGAAATCAACCAGCCGTCCCACCCACTCCTTTCAATCCATGCTGTTAAAAGTGACCACTCTCAGGGAGGCCAACAAGGCTACTACAAGGAAGATGCCTTTTTGGTGGTGGCTCCCCAGTCTCTGGAACAAAATGCCAATAGAAACACACCAGGCGCCTTCCCTCTTTGTTCAGGAAGCTGGTAAAGACAGAATTATTTAAAGCTGTCTTTGGATAAGGCAGCTCTTGGTGAGTGTCAATCAATCAACAACAATAAAAACGGAATCATCTGGATGTTGTTAATTTTTTGGGGGGGGTATGAATTTTAGATTTTATAGGGTTGTTTATGTTACCATTGTGTATTGTTAGAACCACCTTCTGTCCCATCAGCACCTCATTATACAGAATGTTATGACTGGCTACCCTGAGGGAAGCCCAAAAATCAACAACTGAGAGCCAGGCCTTCCCTATGTTGGCCGCCTCTTTTTGGAATTCTCTCTCGACAGAAGTGTAACAGGTCCCTTCCTTCCTTCCTTGGCTTTAGAAAACAAGTGAAGATGTGGGTGTTCGCACAGGCCTTCCACAGCCTTATGCCAGATTAATTTTGGTTTTGGTTATTGATATCCTGTTATCTTTGGAATAATTGTCTCTGTTCTGCCACTGTCCTGTGTCTTTTGTATCACCTATGTTTTATGTAGTGAGTATAGATTTAATGATGTTTTAATCTGATTATTATGGAAGTTTTATTTTATGTCTCTGTCAGTATTGTAAACAGCCTAGAGTAGTGGCTTGGCCACTATATGGACAGGACAACCAGCCAGCCAGCCAACCAACCAATATTTTTTACTATGGATTTCTCATGTGAGTTCGTGAGGGTTTTGAATTTTAACCTGTAAATCGCCTAAAGTAGTGCTTGCATTGATAGGGGTGGTATATAAATCAATGAAATAAAATCAGTCAGTAATATGATTCCATGCAGGATGTATGTGAGGATATCGTGTCCTAAGTGTATATTGGGATAAGTGTTAACTTACGGCCACTGTCTTCTTTCTGTTGGCAGGAAAGAGATCAGAGTTGGCAACTCTAACCATAGACTAGCAGCAATACTTCAGTAACAGCTCCTGTAGTTAAATATGGAGTGAAACACAAACTTTGTTTAATAGTGATTCATCAGAGAAGCAGCTGCACTGCTTGTGGTCCTCACTGTTGGCTAGACAATGTTATGAACACAGGTGAACAAACTCGCAGAGGATTTTGTCACGATCAATGATATCTTTATATTCCTAGCATTTTTGAAAGTGTTGCCTACCTCCCTGCTGGTGCTCTGACAGCTGCTGTACTTATCGCTGCCTTAGCAGCAAGGGAAGAATGACTTCTCTCTAAAACAAGACACTCAGGGAAGAGAGCACACATTTTGTCTTCAAGCTGAATCGTGCTCCTGGAAACTTCCTGAAGATATGATCCAGCCTAAGAACATGTCAGGCTCCCACATATGTCTTAAAGGTAGGTGAACAGCATCCAATTGGTTCAGGAGGGTGCAATATACACAGCCACAGATATTGTTCTCCCCTGCTTTACAGATAACAGAAATTAGTTTTTAAGAAAGCAGGTGATATATATATACATCTTTCATTTATGCAATAACCAATACTATTGCCTCCTAGTCTAACAGGATTTCAAGGTCAGTTTTGGGTTCCTGCTTGATTTCTGTCAAATATGATAGCACTTTTCAAATATTTCAATGCTTGTCATAAAAAGGAGGGGTAGGGCCTGTTCTCAGTCATTCCAGAGTGCAGCACAGGAAACCAGGTTTCTGTTGAATATCAGGAACAACTTCCTGTCAGAGCTGTACAACAATGGAACCAATTAGCTTGAAAGGTAATGAGCTCTCCAACACTGAAGGCATTTCAAGGGAAAGTTAGATAATCCTCTGTCAGATATACTTTGACCTGGATCTCTGCATTGAGCAAGGGGTTGGACTGGATGGATTTATAGGTCTCATCCAATGCCATTATTTTGTGATTCTACGATTCAGAATGGAAAACCATCTGTAGAATGGTGTCTGTTCACTGTAGCCTGTGTTAAGAGAGGAATCCCCAAACACTTGTACCTTGCCACTTTGATCAGTGTTTGAATGCTGGTTTACGGGAAGATACTGTAGGGTGTCAGTTCTTTCAGAAGTTGCTAGACAATGAAGTGAATGCCTGATTATAAAGAATGTTTTTAGCTGTGTGAAGGAGTGTTAAAGGAGAGTGTGCCGTCACCTAAAGAAAAACAAGCTACTGACCTGATAGAGAGGGAGCAGTGTGAGGCGGAAAGTAAAGAGGGAGACAACGCAGTAATAAGAGCGCGGGCATGGGAAGGTGGGAAGTTTGAAGTGAGCTTAGTGGAGGAGGGAAAGGACGTGATAGGACAGGAACAGGAGTTATCCATTTGGGAGGAAAATATAAGAGAGAGTGGGGAGTAACGTTACAAGGTTGAATTGGAGATATGGAAGGGGAAAAGGGAATTAGAGAGATTGAGAGAGTTCGAGAGAGTTAAGACACAGGAGTTGTTGAGAGATTTCCCCCACCTGCGTGTGGGAGGGCTGCTACCAGATCCTGTTCCTCAGGAGAAGGAGGAACTCTGTATTCAACTGTTGGAATGGTCAGTGGTGGTGTTCCCGAAGTACCAGGGGTGTGGACGGAAGGTGATCCGTCCTGACGCAAGGCACAATACCCCACCGCTGGAAGGCGATTGGGCTAGGCACCCATGCTGTGGGACTATTTGTGTGGTGAAGAGTGCCTCCCTGATGAGCCCCACAGACGGCGAGAGATTTGGTCCTGCACCCCTTTAGCTTCGGCTGGAGAACAAACTGTTTCCGAGATGGACAGCTTTGGCCCGTTGCCAGAACTGAGTTTGTTAGAACCTTTTGTGGAGAATGTTGAGATATTGGATGTTAATAAAAGGGAAACTGTTAGAGTTAAGAAGACGAATCTGCTTCTTATTCCTAATTTGGATGAGGGACCCTCTCCCCTTGCCCATGAACCTTATCACAAGCTGTTACAACAAAACATTCTCATGATCATCCGGTCAAAAGTTATGAAAGCTTATGAGATATGTTGGCAGGCAAGCACAGAAATCTTGGCCTTAAATATACCATTCTGGTTGCTTTACATAATAATAATCTGAAAAGTAGTGTTAGAAGAGGTACCTGTGTTAGTCTGTGCTAGCATATTGAGATAAATAAGAAAGCAAGTAAGCAGCAAGACAAAAACCTTCGGCTGGAGAATGAACTGTTTCCGAGATGGACAGCTTTGGCCCGTTGCCAGAACTGAGTTTGTTAGAACCTTTTGTGGAGAATGTTGAGATATTGGATGTTAATAAAAGGGAAACTGTTAGAGTTAAGAAGACGAATCTGCTTCTTATTCCTAATTTGGATGAGGGACCCTCTCCCCTTGCCCATGAACCTTATCACAAGCTGTTACAACAAAACATTCTCATGATCATCCGGTCAAAAGTTATGAAAGCTTATGAGATATGTTGGCAGGCAAGCACAGAAATCTTGGCCTTAAATATACCATTCTGGTTGCTTTACATAATAATAATAATCTGAAAAGTAGTGTTAGAAGAGGTACCTGTGTTAGTCTGTGCTAGCATATTGAGATAAATAAGAAAGCAAGTAAGCAGCAAGACAAAAACATTGTGGCACCTTAAAGACTAACAGCTATATTTTGAGGTGAGCTTTCGTGGACAAGTCCTCTTCCTCAGCCTTCAGAGTGGGACTACAGGGCAAATGTGTGCTCCCTTCCTTGTGTGTCTTGTTTTAAAGAGAAGTTCTTCCCTTGCCGCTAAGACAGCGATAAGTACAGCAACAGTCAGAGCCCCAAACCAGAGACTATATTTAGGCATAAATTGTAAACCTAGCAATGGCCTTTAAATCTATGTTGATATTCAGTTCTCCTCCCAAAAAGTATTGTTCTATAAACAACGACAGGTGACTAAATTTATCCCAGGCTGTAGATATCAAGCAGGATCAATATGGCAATGAGTATCACTAATCACCAACAGGGCTTGTGAGGCGGCACTGGTAGAGAGTAGAGATGGGCATGAAACAAACCATAAACCAAAAAAACCCCACAAGCAGGACCGGTTCGTGGTTTGTTTTGTGGGTGGTTCAGAGAACTGCTCTTTCACAACACAAAATCCTGAACTTTGTCATCACTGATGTTTCACTTCCTTCTTCCCCCCCAACCCGCCCTTTATGGGCCCCAGGACCTACCTTACTCACTCCAGGCCTCCTCCTGGCTGTCACTGAGTAGGACAGAAGCCATTTAGGGCCTACTTCTTGCTCAAGTGCTTCCTGGGAGGCTTAGAGTATTGTGGGAAGTGTAGTTTTCCAGCCCACTGGAATAGATATTAACCACCAACTCCCCCCCCCTCTCTCTGTGACAATCTCTTCCACACAGCCAATCCCAAGGCTGCTGCTGCTGCTGCCTTGGAAACCCAATCCCACTCACCTGAGTCTTTGTGACCTCACAGGGGCCCCACCTCTCTGCTGGCAGATAAAAGGGGCTTGCTGGGCAGGGCAGGAGACCAGAAGGGAGGCTAGTGGCCAGAGGGCAGTACAGAGCAGAGAGAGTGGCAGTGGCTGCAGGGGACCCAGCCCTTCTGCCCAAGGCAAGTTGTCTCACGAAAGCAGATGAACTTGCTAAGTGGGCTGGCGAGTAAAGAGCTCAAGGCTGGCGGAGATCTGTGGCTTGAAGGTGGCGGAGGCCGCAAGTCGGAGGCCGCCAGAGTTTGGCAGATGAAGCAGAGGGACGTTAGCCTCCTGAAAGCAGCTGGCGGAAGCTTGGTGGATATCAGTGGATGGAAGCCCAGGCGTGTGTGTGAATGGCTGGTGGAGTGAAGGTGTGTGTGTTGGGGGGGCTGGTGTGTGTGTGTGTGTGTGTGTGTGTTTGTGTGTGTGTGTGTGTGTG